GTCTCAGGTAGGACAGAGTGTCTCAGGTAGGACAGAGTGTCTCAGGTAGGACAGGGTGTCTCAGGTAGAACAGATGGTCTCAGGTAGGACAGAGGGTCTCAGGTAGGACAGAGTGTCTCAGGTAGGACAGGGTGTCTCAGGTAGAACAGATGGTCTCAGGTAGGACAGAGAGTCTCAGGTAGGACAGAGTGTCTCAAGTAGGACAGGGGGTCTCAGGTAGGACAGAGAGTCTCAGGTAGGACAGAGTGTCTCAAGTAGGACAGAGTGTCTCAGGTAGGACAGATGGTCTCAGGTAGGACAGAGGGTCTCAGGTAGGACAGGTTGACCAAGACATCAAGTCTTTGTGATGTATGAAGAGCCACAGCATCCAGGCTAATGTCAGCAGACCACCAAGAAGGACCAACCACATCCAACAGGATTAACTGTGGACACAACAGGAAGCTGTCTGAAAGGATGTTCTGGTCTAAAACCAGCTGCTTCAGCTCAAACATCAGATTCATATTTTTTCAACAATTTAACTTTTATCATTTTACCAAATAAATTAATCGAGTCAGCATTTTTATAATCTTTGTCTAAGTTATTCCACAATCTTAGTCCTTGAACGCAGGGACATCTAACCTTCAAGTTTGTTCAAATTTTAGTTTTATAAACATTTCAAATCCCTTCAAATTATAACAACTTTCCCTGTTAACAAAATTAGATTGAAGGTCAATCACATTTTGTTACAAAYATTGTTAAATATTCAAACTAATGTCTTCTCTGCAGAATTGTTCATGGTGTATGACCCCCAACTTCACCAGTTTGTTATAATCTGAACATGTGATCCTGTCAGGAGCACAGGTCCACCTCAGACTGGGTTGTTCCTCTGAGGAGACGGGCTTTGGGCAAAAACACCTTTTGTGTTCGAGCTGCCATCGAATGGATTCTTATTCCTGTCATCATCAACACATTCAAATTATACCATTAAAAGTTTATTACAGAAATGTCTTATTGATAATCAGAGCCATCAGCATTAGGTTATAATTAACTCTTGTTCCCTCAGTTTTCATCATGTGTGGGCTCATTGTTTGGTTTGATGTTTTCTATTAGTTAGTTTATGTCTTTTATGTTCCTTTGTAGCTTATAATATTTTAAGTATTTTGAAGTGTATTGTATTTATTTTGTATTTATGTAGGTAAACATTTAATATTTTAGGGTGACTTTTACCACCTGTCTGGGGACTGCAGGTGAAAAATAGTCTTCTGACTAATCCTGTCATATTTACAGAAATGTTATTAATATACACTGTCCCTGTAATAAATAAAGGTTTGAAAAAATACACTAAAATTCTACTCAAGTACAGTAAAGAAGTATTTGTACTTAGGTAGTGCACAGCTGTGCTGCAGGCCCACAGTAATACTGACTGATTAAAGTGATTGATCTTTGTTGCCCCACACAGGGGCAGTAAAGTGTGGACACAGTGCGTGGGGTGACAACACGTGGCCTCCTGCACACACTTCTTCCACCAATAGGCTCCGACCTTCTGCCACTAGCCCCGCCTCCCTCACCGTGTTAGCCAATCRTTGTGAAGAGGGGGCGGGGCTTACAGAACAACCCGCTCCGCTGGCCTATAGCAGGCAGGGGGGTCGTTAGGGGTCGGGTTTGGTTCAGGTTGATCAGTTGGATCAGACTGAGCCGGTCTCTGTAGACCTGGTCCTGGTCTGAGCTGACACCATGTACCTGCTGCTGGCTTTAGGAGCTCTGCTGGTCCTGCTGCTGTGGATCAGAGGCACAGGTGTGCAGCACGTGATCGTGCACCACAGGTGGATCTTTGTGTGTCTGTTCCTGCTGCCGCTCTCCGTCGTGTTCGACGTGTATTATTACGTCAGAGGATGGATCATCTTCAAGATGTGCTCTGCTCCCAGGCTGCACGAGCACAGGGTCCGACACATCCAGCGACAGGTGAGCCGCGTCACGTGCTTTGACTGACCGCAGGGGCAGGGCCAGGTTTGACCCGCACCTTGTTGCCCCACACCTCAGGTGCGTCAGTGGAGGCAGCAGGGGGGACGGAGCTTCATGTGCACCGGCCGTCCAGGATGGCTCACCATGTCCCTGAGGGTGGGCAAATACAAGAAGACCCACAAGAACATCACCATGAACATGATGGACATCCTGGAGGTGGACACACACAGACAGGTGAGAGGAGGCGGGGCTTACACACCTGTCACAGCAAATACACAAATCACTGCAACACAACAACAATATTCAGAGCTGTAAAGTAACTAAGTACAAATACTCTGTTACTGTACTTAAGTAGAACTTTTTGTTATCTGTATTTTACTTGAGTAATTATTTTTCTGCGTACTTTTTACTTTTACTCATTACATCTTTACACAATTATCTGTACTTTCTACTCACTACATTTTTAAAAAGGTAAGAAGTAGAAAGTTGTTA